GAAGGCTTGTCTGAGACCTTGGGAGACGGAAGCTCGACATGGTTTTCACATCCATACGCTTCATTGTTCCCGTGCAACACACGAGGAATGAGCAAACTTGTTGCAATGGATCCAAGAGGAGGGTTGATGCTGTAGGAATATGGCAAAAATCACATCAATGGAATTTGTACGGACATTCTTGACAGAGAGGCTCAGGCGATCATTGCATTGACGAGGACACGAGATGCAGCCTGGGACTTGCAGACACAAAGACTGTGTGACATAAAGACAGGAATTACAAGGTGGGAAAACAAGATCAAGCCAGTGAAGGATCTGTGTTGGGGTCTCCATGTTCGTTGGATTGCTGCCGTCTTGTGCTCGCCGGCAAGTACGAACGACCAACACATCAGGCGTGGATGTTGGCTGATTGGACTTGAGCATTGTCTTCAGGCGAAGCAGAGCTTTAAGCTAGTGGCCAAAGTACTCATGAAGCATTACTCTTGGCGTCTCTTGTGCTGGAGGCTGAATTTGCTAAGAGAGTCAACCTGATTGTGTATACCGACTCAACTGCCGGCGTGGGCAGACGAAGCTCCAGATTGCAAGCCAAGACATTATGGGATGCCATCCTCACGCAACTGCGCATTCAGTTTGTGCAGTCTTCAATACTTGCGATGTGTCAGGCTCAAGGTGACTCTTGGCGATGAAGCTTTTTGCTGTAGTTGTCAGCAGGGGAACCGAGCCCCTGAAAGACCTCCCAACGACATACTGACTGATGGAGCCCAGCTGTCCATCCCTGTAACAAGGATTAAGCTACTACTGTTGAGTCTGAGTTGAGTTCATTTGTCATTCTGAAGATTTCTGAAGTGTCCAAGACATTGCTCAGTACTCGGCAATGATGTCTGCGAATAAGGTTGGGATGTTCAACAACATGAGTCCAGGAATACAGTCCGCACCGTCGGTTCCTTAAGTCACCTCGGGAGAAGCCCAGCACGCCAGAGTGCAAGCCGTCAGCCACATGAGGCGTGAACAAAGCAAGCTAGCCTGTTTGAGTTCTTCGCTTTGGCTCGCATGCAATGTCGAAAAGTTGCGATGCTGCAAGGCTGAGTGAGATGTGATCACTAGAAGACTGCCGCCTGAGTCTGAGCGCGGGTGATGCATTCAAAGCCTGTTCAGTCTGTCAGACCTGATGCGTGTTGTCACGAGAAATCTGTGTTTCCCACGCGTAACTCGGCAGTGGATCCATTGGCACCGCTTCAACGGTGCATCCAATGTACTCAAACCGAGGTGCTTCGGATGCGGGGATTCATCGGATCGAAGACGATGGATGAATCGGCAATTTGCCGGATTCAAGGCCAGTTGGACGTGGCTTGCGTAAGGCTCACAACCCGGGAGGTCATCCTCTCCCTTCATTATCCCTGTCTTCGACCATTCCTTCACGTTCACGGCCTGATGCAGGCCTGTTGCCTCATCTTGCATCCATCTTCATCTTTATACTGACGTACAAGTAATTAGTCAGAGACTGGGTGCATGTGCCGCGACGCTCATCTTGATTTTCTCTTTTTGCTTTTCCAGTCCTTCATCACAAGTGAATGCCCGCAATGACATGCCCGTGCGCGGAGCCCAAAAGTGGAAGTTGTGGCAACTGAGCTTTCAGTCTCTGACGAGCTTGTTAGCCCACAATAAAAGGACAGAGGCTACAGACGTGACTGAAGCTGGTGCACCGCTTTTCCAGCAGACATGATCAAGAATCCTTTGCCCGCCTGCAACATTGCCCAAGCATTCGTTGGCGCACATCACGAAGCCACACAAGACCATTCATATGCGTGATGAGCTGATCCAAATCGAAGCAGAAGAGGCATTAATCCGTGGTATCCAGGAGAGTCAACTTGACGTTGTTCAAGTTCAGTTGCGAAAGAAATGAATGAGGCCATTGCACAACTGTTTCAACAGTAACAAAGGGCTCATGATTTGTTGCAAAACATTGTTTCTGACTTAATGCCACTGAAAGATACTGAAAGGCCAAAGTCAGCAAGTGGCCCCGTTTGGTTCTATCCCGGCCACGCAACCGTACCATCTCGATGGATTGAGTCAGGTGCAATGTCGGGTGCTTGAAAAAATCGAAACCAATGCGTGTCCCCGCATGTCACGCACTCAGGCGGAGTGCCTTCTGCTCCATGGGTGTATGCGCGTGCTGAGCCACTTTTCTAAGATGAAGAGAAAAGCTGCACAAACAGGTCTGAAATGGATTCTTCATGTTATCAGGCTTGACGTCAGTGTCCCGCCAGATGGTGTAAGCGGACATCGTGAACTCCATATCCGTTTGCAGTTTGGTGGTGCGGGTGGGCGGGCAGGTGGGCGGGTGGGCAGGTGGGAACGTGTGTGCCAAAAGCTGAAACCTTAATCATACTCGAAGATGTGGGAAAAAGATCAAGGATTCCTCATGGCAAGAAGACAACACCAAGGGCTTCTCATTCTCATCACGACTGCTGTTTTGCTCGAAAACAGTCTCTTGAGCACAGCATCAACTGAACAGTCTTCTCTTCAAGATTTGCAAACAAGAAGCCCACATGCTCGAGAGCCATTTGATCATCCGGCCACCGATGCAACCCGGCAACAGCGTTCGCAGAGGAAAGCCATGGTCCGGGGTAAGCGGCTCTCCATTTTGCTTGAAAGCAAGCAGCACATCTCGCTCCCTGTCAAGCGCCCAGCCCAAATCAATGGAAGTGCCATAGGATCCCGTTTTCCCTTGAGGCAACTCACCCAGAGGACCTTCGAAATGGACGAAGCGATGCTCTTTCGAGGGCCGTGTGATGCCAACCGCTGCCAACAAGTCGCACAGGCGGACTCCTGTCCACACGGAGTTTCCAACGGCTCCGGCTCCCCAATCGAATCCTTGTTGGCGCGCACCCGACTTTCCGAAGTGCAGCGTAAAGGAAAACAACTCTACTCAAAAGGAAACGAAACTGATTGATCCTTTCAAGGGACCGACCGTCTTCTTGGTGAGGTTCTGCTCCTTGCGCCGATTCCCAGCACAGATAAAGGTCACTGGGATCGACACAATGGTGCCCCATTCACCAGATGTGATTTGCTCCATGCTCAGCTCCACCGGCTTTGGGACTCCTGTGATCTT